ATTCCAGAACCCCAGTGGGAAGAGTGGCGAGGAGTAACTGGGACTCTGCCAAGGGGCTTAGCTTTGAAAGGACAGTGAAACAGTAAGACAAAGGGCAAGTGGTTAAAGGGTGGAGGTCTTCAGAAAGCCTGTTTTCCTAAAATTGGATGACACTTCAGAAGAGAAAGAGCATGTTTGTGTGCCAAGAGGGGGAGGAAGAGAAAGAGAAAGAGAGAAAGCGAGAGAGAGAGAGAGAGAGAGAGAGAGAGAGAGAGAGAGAGAGAAAGTGAGAGTGAGAGAAAATACAAGGGATTGAGCAAGATTGTTTAGGGGGCAGGAAGACAAGTGATATAGACAAGAGCCAGTGCAACAGGTCCAGATTATTTTAGTTTCTATACCAATTGGTAAATACCACTAAGACACAATTTTCAGGATAGATTCATTAAATTGGGTAGAGAACACTTCTTACATAGTTTTGTACTCCCTACAATATTTTAACCCATTAAATCATTCCTCTGACCAATAAGAAACACCAGTCTGTTGTTCGCAGGGAGTAAAACTAGAAGCTCATTCTCACCCTCCAGAATCTAGCTCAAACATTAAACCCCAGCCAGCCTCCACCACAGCCCTGCCCTCCCCAGCCAGGCTGCCATGTTTGCTTGTGCGCAAATTGGCCTTGTCATCCTGCTGCCTTATCCCTGCTTCTGTCCCACCAGGTCCCTTCTTTACAGATAAGGGAGGCTGAGAAGAAAAGCCCAACTTATCATGGTCTACAGGTTATTTGGATCTGCCTTCTGCCTGACTCCCATTGCATAGGCAACCACCCTCCCCACTCTATCCTGTTCCTTGAACAAGAAAGTACTTAGCTTCCTCCAGACATCCACATTTGCTTTGGCTGCTGCCTGGAATGCTCTTACCTTAGCAATTATCCTGCAGACTCAGCCTAAATGTCACTTCATCTCATCTGATGAAAGTGGATCCCATACCCACTTAGGAGCAATCACAACACACTTCTTGTTTCCTTCAAAATGCTGACAACACTCTGTGCTTATTTTATTCAGGTTTTTCGTTGCCATTCTCCTTTACCCCAGCAACACAGAAGCCCCATGAAGGCTGGAACCCCAACTCTCTCGTCTCATCCCCCGTGTCTGGTACAGCCCTTGACAAGAGCTTTCGAAGCTAGGAAGACAGGTGCTGGTCATCTTAGCTACTTGGGAGGTTGAGATCAGGAGGACTGCAGATTGTGATTTGAGGTTGGTCTGGGCAAATAAAAAGTTCTCTAGACTCCATCTCCATGGGAAAAAGCTGGGCGTGGTGGCGCACGCCCATCAGCCCAATTACACAAGAAGCTGAGGTAGGGAGGATCATGGTTCCAGGACAGCCCAGGCATAAAAAGTTCACAAAAACTCATCTCAACAGGGGGAAAAAGCTGGGGGTGGTGGGGTGCACCTGTCATCCCAACTACAACAGAAAGAGTAAAATAGGAGGAATGTGATTCAGGTCAGCCTAGGCAAAAAGCAAGATTGTATCTACAAAATAACCACAGCAAAAAGGTGAGAGGCAGGGTTAAAGCAGTAGAACGCCTGCCTAGTAAGTGCAGAGTTCTAACCCCAGTACTACCAAAAGTGGGCAGGGGGGAAGAGAGAGAAATATGCTTTGTGCATGAACAGCACCTCCATTTTTTTAAAAACCCAGCTTAAATCTGCCTCATAGTGAATACGTGTGTAACAGTTCGTATGTGCAGAATGCTCACCTGTTTCAGCTGCTCCATGAATTGTATTATCTCATTTAATGAGGTCCCTCCACTGACCTCCCATAATTCTCACAGTAATGACAAGCCAGGCTTCACACTCTAAAAAAGCAAGTTAGCCTCTGTGGTGGTGGTGGTGTTCCAGTAGTAGGACTGAGCCTTGCCTAGCCTTGGAGAACTGCTACACCCCTTTGTTATTTAAAGTGTCATATGTGCCACTTTTTGCTTCAGTGAAATAACTGGTGCTCCTCCACAGCCCAGTGCCAAAGCACACAGGGATCTCAAGGTATGCTGGGTAACTGAAGATCCATCCAGGGGATAACGTAAGTTGTCTGTATTACGTCAAAGATAAACACAGGCAAACATTCGTTAAAACAGTGAAGACAGATTTGATTCAGTAACTACTGACAGTGGAGGAAAGAGCTGAGTTCATTCAGACTGGAGGGGACTGAACTCTTTCAATGAGAAAGTGGGGAGTAGGGGTAGAGGGATGGCAGGGGCTTGAGTAGAGCCAGGGAAGTGAAAAATTACAAAAGCAGAAAGTTGGGGTTGGTCCATGTGAAACCCATATAGGTTTGCTAACTGGCAGCCATGAAGGCTAAGCTTTGTTCTCCCACAGAAAGTGGGAGACATGGGTTCTGTCTTTAGGTGTTGGCTGAAACAAACAGTAAATTCAGCCTTGAGTTTTCTCAGGCAGGCATTTTAAGGGGAACTAGGATGTGGTCTTGAGCTGTTAGAAACTGTGTTAGTGTTTGTTCAAATCTTTATAGGCCAGGGCTAAGGCCTAGTCAAAGAAGAGAGCTCAGAGCTAGGCATGGTGGTACACACTCATTATTCCAGCACTCACGAAGCAGAGACGAAAAGATCTCAAATTTGAGGCCAGCCAGGGCTACACAGCAAGACCCTGTCTAATAAAATTAAAAAAAAAAAAAAAAAAAGCCGGTGCTGGGTGGCTCACACCTGTAATCCTAGCTACTTGTTTGGCTGAGATCGGGAGGATGGAGGCTTGAGGCCAGCCTGGACAAATAATTTTCATGATCCCATCTCCAAAAATAATCAGAGCAAAATGGACTGGAGATGTGGCTCAAGCAGTAGAGTACCTGGTTTGCAAGCTCGAAGTCCTGAGTTCAAACCCCAGTCCTATGAGGAAAAAAAAAGACTCAGAAGCCTAATTAGAGTTTGGTCAAGGAGAGATCTTTGTCAGTTATAAACTGAGTAGAAAATTGAACTAACTTATTAGGCAAGTGTCTACCACTTCAGAGATTTGAGGGTTTATTTTGGTTTTAGTTTTGGTATTGCTGTTGTTTTGTTTTGTTTGTGCTACTGGGGTTTGAACTCAGGGCCTCAGGCTTGCTAGGCAGGTGCTCTACTTGAGCCACTCTGCCAGCCCCAACTTGCCAATGGACAAATTCCATTTGACCTGTAAAGATGTCAAAAATAAGTACAGCAAGATAGTTTGAGTTTCAAGGTATGAGATATTCCATTCAAGCTTCCCCCCCCTATTTTCCAGAAGAATTTGCTACCATCTTAACCTTTCAAAAAGGATTATCTATTCCGTCAAAATGCCTATAAAATCAAGTTATTCCACATGGAGAAGCTGTAAGAAAGGTTTCCTAGAATTAAGTGCTGTTGGGTTTTGAAATATCTGCTTCACAGTATTGTGGTCTGCATTGGAGCACTAAGGGTTGAAGACTTCAGGGGTCCCTTCCCACACATCCAGGCAGTGGCTTGGGGAACCTGGGATCTACAGTGTTGGAGACTGAAGGGACAAGGATTCCCCTGATTCCTCTAAGTAACTTCTGCTATCCAGAAATTCTGTTCACATCTCACCTTAAGTTTCAACTACAACCTACTTCATGTTGGGACCAGATCAAAAAGAGCACTCCTAGCCTCCAAGGAATCCTCCATTCATTATAAAAAAAAATGACATTGAGCTCTGCTTACACCACCTGAGAGTGGCCTTCCCTAAGGCTGGCAGTAGGTGCAGAGTCCCCAAGGGTTATCTCCAGCACTCTATCTCTGAGAGCCATGAGAGTCATTCCTGAAATCATCTCAGGCTCTGAGTACATCTAGGAGTGATTTTCTTCTTGGGTTCCGCCCCTAGAGCAGATGTGTACAGTCAGGAAAATGTCACCCAGCCTGTCTGTTTCCACCTGACAGATGAGAAGAACCATCTGTCCTACTGGGTGTGTTTCCTTGGGGAGAGCCTCATTTCTAGTTGAGAGGGTGTCTTAATTACATCTTGAAAGCCACAGACCCAAAGGTGCAGTGCAGTAGAATCTGGGCAATGCTGTATTTTACCAAGGACTCCGTTTTTCAGCTTCTTCAGTGGCCTGCAAGGTAACTGGATGCTATGGTTGTAATGACACACATTTTCCATTCCAGTGGCTTGAAGTTCCTTCTCTGATAAATACTTTAGCAATTATCTCTTTAGCTGCCACCTACCTTCTCTGACCTGTACTCCTCCTGCCATGTCCTGGTAAATTAGAAAGAACTCTGGCCATCTCTAGTGACTTCATGGTGTAGAAGCATTTTCATTTATGGGAGCAGAATTGACTATATTTTCTTGCTTTCAGTTAGGACTGCTGGGGACAGAGCATCATCATCATCATTTGGTAAATGTCCATCATTTACCAAAATGCCAGCTTTTCAAAGCTAAGTTTACAACATTCCAGGCTGTAGACCAAGGAAAGGGAAAGGAGACAAAATGTATTATCATGATTTTGCAGGGTTGGTTTCAGGCAGAGACAAGACTCCACATACAGGGGCTCAAATTTACATACTGACATTTTATCTCCAAGTGAGACTGTAGAATCTCAACGCGTGTGTATCAGTGGATCACTCACCAGCTGTGAATAAATATGTAAAATATGCCACAAGGCAATTCTGCTTTTGGCACAGCCTAGTTTTGTTGTTGCTTTAATAAATCACGAACAACAACAGAAACGTCTGACCCTGTCCCAATCTCTTGAAGATCCTGGTTCAAGGTCCTGTCACCGGCGCGGGACAGGGTAAAAGTCTGCCTTGGAAGGCGGGAATGGGGCTGCTTCGGGACTGGCTCCGAAGCCTCCATTAGCTTGAGATTCTGGGGCGGAGGTCTGGGAGGTGCTTGAACGCTGGGAGACCTGCGCGGAGTCTGGTGTGATGGGCGGAGCCGCGGCGTGGGGGGCGGAGCTTCTGGCGGAACGGGGCGTGGTCGCGTGGTGGGCGGGGCCTTGGAGGGATGGGGCGGGCCGAGGCTCGGCTCCGGCCGCAGGAAGTAAATGCGCCCGCAGGAGGTCTGGGGTTGGTTCCAGGCGCCGCGTCCGGCCTCCGCCGGAACTCCTGGCCTGGGCGGTGACTGGGTGCGGTTCCGAGCGTCCGAAGGGCCAGGCCTCCGCGTTCCTGGACTGTAGGAGGCGGCGCGGGTGCGACGGGAGGGGCTGGGAATGGTTCCTTAATTTTTTTAGCGGCATGAGGTTTGAACTCAAGGCCTCGCGCGTGCTAGGCACGCGCTCCACAGCTCGAGCCGCGCATCCAGCCGGTTTTTTGCCTTAATTATTTTTCAGGTAGGGTCTCCAGTTTTGCCCCGGTCAGTCTTGGACCGAAATTCTCCTACATAGCTGAGATGACAGAGACACACGCCACCACACCTGGGTTATTGGTGGAGATGGGGTCTCGCTACCATTTTGCTGGGGCTGGCCTGCAACTCTAGATCTTACGGATCTCCCACTCCTGAGTAGCTGGACAACATACGGGAAGCCGCGCACCGTGCTGCATGTTTTCGCGCCGTGCTGCGGAACCTGTCCGGTTTTTGTTTCCTTTTTCCTTTTCTTGGCTCATTCTGAAAAGGGGAAGGTACAAGGATCTCATGGCCACGAGGGCGCCCATTACTCCCTAGATCCACTCAATAAAAACGGTTTCAGGGTGCCGCTGTATGAAGGGTTCTCCCCAAGGTGGAAAGTTGTTTATCCCTTTCTAAGTTGGTACGTTTGCGGTAGGGTCCTCACATGAGGAATGCACCTTTCCATAGCCTGTGGCATAGAGTTTGGCAGGGCCCTGGGGTTAATGCCTCCCAGAGTTGTAGATGCCCATCTGGAAATAACTTCCCGACCAAGTCAACTTCACCCATGTTAGATGCCCTGCATCCTGACTTTTGTGTCTGATTTAGATCCTTGACTCAGTGAAGCAGAGCCTTTGGGGTTAGCTGGATGCCACAGCCCTGCCTCTTGATGCAGTCTGAATCCAGCGGGAGTGAGAAGGAGACCCCGTGCCTCTTGTGGGGTTTGGATCCGGTGTTTCTAGCCTTTGCAAAACTCTACATCAGGGATATCCTGGGCATGAAGGAGTCCGGCCAAGTGCCAGGTATGTGGCTGATTAGCCTGAAGGATGCCTTGTGGTTCCTCTCTACCCCTTCCTCTCTCTCCCCAGAGCTACAGAAAACTGGACTCCCTCCACCCGAATGAGGTCATTCCTATGCAGTTAAAAATCTAAAATTTTTTTTTAATTTAAGCAGATGTTGGCAGTAACTTTTGCACTGAGCAAGGGTTTTACCTGTTTAAGGTATTTATATTTTTTAATGTTCAGTTTGTTTTCTTTGCTCTTGTTAGAAATATCACCAGGCCTGGTATGCCTAGGCCTTGCTGTACCACTTAACCTGCCCTGGGCAAGTGACTCACTTTCTGTAAAGCTCAGGTTTCTCTTTTGTAAGAATGGGCATTAGCCATGCCTGATCTTCTTGGGGGAAGTTGATTTTGTTGTTGTTTTTATTTGTTTATTTGTTTTGGGAGTACTGGGGTTTGGACTCAGGGCCTTGCATTTAGTAGGCTAGTACTTATTAGGCTAACACTCTACCAACTGAGCCAAGCCCCCAGCCCTTTTTGCTTTAGTTATTTTTCAGAAAGGTTCTCATGTTTTTGCAATTCTTTTACCTATGCCTGCAAGTGACTGGGATTACAGGCACAGGCTACTGTGTCTGGTCTGTTTTGTTTTGAATTAATTAGAATCAAAATAATGCAAACTTTTTTGGAGGAGGACTGACTTGTTCACCTGTGTTGGAGTGGGTGGGTGCTCAAGAAACAGTAATTGAAGCAGCAAAGTATTATATATATCAAGTTGTTTTTGTTTTTGTTTTTCTAGTGGTATTGTGGTTTGAACTTGACCTTGGGGTTGCTAGGTAGGCACTTTACCACTTGAGCCTCTCTACCAGCCCTGCATGTAAAGTTTTACAAAGTGTTTTTTTTTTTTTTTTTTCCTTCAGTCCTGGAGTTTGAACTCTAGGCCTACACCTTGAGCCACTCCACCAGCCCTTTTTTTGTGATGGAGTTTTTCAAGATAGGGCTGGCTTCAAACCAAGATCCTCCTAATCTCTGTTTCCTGAGTAGCTAGGATTACAGGTGTGAGCTACCAGTGCCCAGCTCTCAAAGTTTTTATTAGAGTAGTGGTTGCTAGAGATAGACTTATACCTAACACTGTAACAGAAAAACAGATTTGAATAATTTGAGTAGCTGTGGGTGGGCCTTCATGTGTTTACTGTGCCATGTGAGAAGTTTGGTTAAACTCTTGTTGCTATTTTGAGTGAAGCTTTCCAGTCAGACTTTCTGTACAGTCAGCCATGAGTCAGAAGTAGTCAAGAATCAAGTAGCCCCAGTTTTCATGAGATGAGGTTTTGTGGGATTCCGGTTAACACGCACAGATGCGTTTAGATGGCCTTCCACTAAAGCCTTTTGGACAGATTGTTCACCACACCTTTGTTTCCTAATTATAGTTGAACATGGTCTGGGTTTTTCCCTTTGGAGGACAGCCAACCTCTCCCATAGTTTTCCATTTTCCAGAACAATCTGGCGTTCTTCACAGCTCATCTCTTCAGGAAGAAATTAAGTCACAGCAAATACTCCCTTGCTGAAAGATCTGTGCATGAGCATGAGTAATGGGGCCACCATGGGGCGTAACTCTTCCCGTTGGCAAAGACTGTGATGCTGTATTAAACCAAACTATGAAAACTAGCATTGGTCATCTTCACTGTATCACTGCTAAGAATGTCTCAGATGTGTTTTTTAAAAAGAAACCCCATGGTTGAAGCAAGCATCAACCATAATTTTTGAGTGATTTTCTTTCATATTCTCTCTGTTTTGTTTTGCTACCTTGCCCAGGCTGGTATCCTACTCACCATCCTGTTGCCTGGAATTACAAGGAAATTATGCTCATCTTAGAGTGAATTTCTTTGGAGTACACTATTGGGTTCTAAGGGATAGGAAATGACAGCCGTCTAGGTTTTGACTAGTTGGTTTGCCATAAAGAAAAACATGTGACTACATAAAAGTTACAAATGTTTAAATGGCTAAGAGTATCTGAAACAAAATAACAAAGGTTAATCAAAAAATGACAAAACATGAAACAAATGGGTTTGTAAAGTATTGGATGGCCTTTGTCCTTGGTCCTGGGTGGTAACCTCTAAATCCTTGGAATTTCCTGAGTGATTGGATTGTTTTTGTTATCTGTGATGAACCCTTAGACCACACCTGAGTTTATGCTAATAAACTCAGCCCCTAGTTTTAGGATGGGGCTGTCTACACCCAAAAGATCAATTCTGTGATTAGAGGACTAGGGTTTGATGGAATCAATTAATCATGCCTATATTACAAAACCTCTATAAAAACTCTGAACACTGAGGCTCCATGAGCTTCTCTGGTTAGTAGTCATACATTAATATGCCAGAGGGTATGATGTCCTGAAGACAGAAGTTTCATGTTTGGACCCCCGAGACCTTGTCCTATACCATCTCTTCATTTTTAGCTGGTCCTGATTTGTTCCCTTTACTATAAAACTATAGCACCTTCCTGGGTTCTGTTAGTTTTAGCAAATTATCAAACCTGAGGGTGTCACGGAAACTGCCAGGTTTTTAGCAAGTTGGTCAAAACGTGCAGGTGACCTGAGGATCCCCACAAAACTTGGGACTAGTGACTGAAGTGAAGGTAGTTTTAAGAGGGACTGTGCTCTAAATTTGGGAAATTTAACAGTAACTTAACTAGGTAGTGTTAGATTTGTATTGAACAATGTCATCTCCCTAAATCTGTGAATTTAGGGCTTACCTAACTAAAAATACTGTGAAGTTTGACTGTGGTGGTAGTGATATTTAGTTTTGGGGTTTTATTTTGCATTTAAAAAACTATTTTCAATAACAACTCATAACATACAGAAATGGTCTTTGTTTTGTCTCTGTTATGTCAGACTTTAAACAATGAGCTGTGTGTGAGGAAAAACAGGCTGCCTTATTTCCCCTGCTTTTACATCACAAGCAGCACAAAACCTCTGTAACCCCAAAGGGTAGGGGTTTTTTCACCTCTAGCAAGCAAGCAGTCAGTTCTGCAGTGGAACAGCAGTTGGGTTCTTCTCATCCACATGTTCCGTTAATTTGCTTATGTGACTCACAGTACTCAGGGAAATACTTAAAACTTCCTGGTTTGTTATGAAGGACATTACAAAGGAATGTAGACGAAGAGATACATGGACGAGGTATGGGAAATGTGACATGGAATTTTCATGCCCTCTCCAGGTACATCACCCCCCCAGGAGCCTTTCTCAGCTATTTAGAAGTTTTCAGAACCCTATGTTTTTGGGGTTCTTATGCTGAAATCATTACATAGGCATGATGGAAGCATGAACCATATTGAAATGTGATTGGACAAGAGGGGTATGATCTAATGCTCAAAGACTGAGTCAGGAAACAGCATGGCCTATCCAGAGTCTTCTTGGCCTTTCTGTGCAGGATATGGGGCAGGAACTCTCTGGAATGATGAGGCTCTTAAGACTTACTATCAGACAAAGTAGGTCAAGGAATTTCTTTATGGCCAGCTAAAGGTGGCAAAAGATTAGAGTTTCTATCACCTGTCTTAGGGACAGAATTAAAAACCAGGAACTATAGACCAAAACCAAAAAATATTTATCATGGTATCACAATAGCAGATACTTTATTTAGGTCATCATACAATACAATGAAGTTGAAGTAACATACATCTCACAGTTCCTCATCCACAGATACAACCAATCTAGAATTTAAAATATTTGGCAATGTTGAGTGCCAATGGCTCACGCCTATAATCCTAGCTACTCAGAAGGCAGAGATCAGGCGGATGGCGGTTCAAAGCCAGCCTGGGCAAATAGTTCTGTGAGATCATATCTCAAAAAAACCCTTTACAAAAAAGGGCTGGTGGAGTGGCTCAAAGTGTAGGCCCTGAATTCAAACCCCAGTACCGCAAAAAAAAAAAGGGCTGGTGGAGTGGCTCAAGGTGAAGGCCCTGAGTTCAAACAATACAGACTTGTCATTGTGCCCTAAACAATACAGTATAACAACTGTTTATATAGTATTTTCACTGTATAGGTATGATAAGTCATCTAGAGATGATTTTAAATATTTGGGAGGATATGGGTAGGTTATTTTGAAGTACTGTGCCATTTTATATATAAGGGACTAAAACATCCCTTAACCACAGGAGGTCCTGGAATCAATCCCCCCTAGATACCTAGGGATGACTATAATTCATAAGAATTATGTTAAATGAATCTATATTTTAAAATATCTTAGGTATTTTTAACACTATCATTCTTCAATAAGAGCATTTATAGCATCAATAAAATCACAACAGTTAAACTGAAAAGAGATCAAACCAAAGTACATTTTTGCTTTTTTTTGGTCCATATTGGGGTTTGAACTCACAGCTTTGCACTTACTAGGCAGGTGCTCTACCACTTGAGCCACATCCCTAACCCCAACAAAAGCACTTTTAAAGAGAGAAAACAAATGTCTTGCTGTGTTGTGGATGTTTAGGGTCAGCTGCTGCCTGTCCCCCTGAATCACTAGGCCTTCCCAGCTTGACCTTTTTCTTCTTGGCGTACAGGGGATCTTGTTCTTGGTACAAGTAACCTGGTACTGTGGACCTCTGTGGGCTATGTATGGAATAGTAGAGCAGAAGGGCCACTTGGAAAAGGCTGGAGCATGACCTTGATGCCAATAAACATTTGTCTGTTGAGATCATGTTCTTTTCTTAACTCAGTGAGCTTTCTCTCAATCGACAGAGCAGCACCCAGCTCCCTTGAGCTCAGTTCTCAGAAGATGAAAGGAAGTGGTTCACTCATTCTTCTGTGTCTTCAGCCATCTACCTGTGGAGACCGAGCACCTCATTTGTGTGGGTCATGTTTCCTACACTTACAGAAGTTTCTGTATTTCTAAGCAATGCATTTCCCCCTCAGTCCGTTTCTTGGAGTTTTTTCATTCAAACCATCTGTTTTATTTTTTTTTTTCCTGCAGTTCTCTATTGTTCTGTGATGCTTTTGAGCTATTTTTTGCATCAGTCCTTTGGGATTGGAAGGATTTTGTTGCGTCCTCAAGTGACTGTGTCCTTGGAGCCGAGCCATTATCAGTCCATGTAGTGGAAGTTTATGGGGCCCATGTTTTTTTTTTTTTCAGGGAAGTCTGCTGTATCCTCATGTGAAGATTTTTATTAAGTGTGACTGAATACAGAGTATGTAACATCCCCAAGGTTTCCCAAGGTGCCTTGGGGATGTGATTGGCTTGTGCCGTTAATCTAGTCTTCATACTGTCGTTTGCATGTACTTTATTCCAGGTAGCATAAAGTCTTGACATTTTGTGAGTTTTCTGTGAATCCATATTGTTCCCAGTCAATCCAAGTGTTCCTGAATGGGGGCAACTCTTTTGGAGGTGACCCAGTGACCTGGGCTACTTCCCCTGTGTGGCCCTGCCATAGTCAGCTCATGGCCCCCAAGGTTGCTCTGAGGATGGTCTCCCATCCCCCTACCATGCCATCTTTAGAAGTCCACCTCCACAGGGGAAAGGGGCTGCCTTGGCTAAACTTGCTGCATTTTCTTTTTCCAAGCCACATCTGCTCTCCTGGAACTTCTCTGGCAGACTGAGTCTCAGCAGCAGCTTGTCTAAACCTGGGACTCTGCCCTGAGTGACTCATCCACAATCTGTGTCCTCAAGGGAAAGAAGCAGCAGCCAGTCTCCGGGTTCAGGCCACAGATTCCCCTATGGGTTGGAATCCGGAGGCTTTGACCAGTCTTGGTCATGAGGGGAGAGTGGCCAAATGCCTTAAGTGACTGTGGCTTCTTTGTTTACAAGCCACATTTCCTTTTTATTTAAAAAGAAAAAGCCCATCAGAAAGTTTATAACCTGCTTCCGAAGGTAAAGAACCCAACCATCGTGGGTGGAAGAGGTTGGGGAGGATTCTAGTCAGGAATCAGTTGGTGACAGGAGCACGCACACTGCACTTAGACTGAAAAGGGGGAACTCAATTGGACCATGGGGGCAGTCCAGCAGGGAGGTTCTGCAGGAACCAGCCAGCTCTGGAACCACAGTTGTGAATTGGGCTCATGGCTCCCAGATCAGAGAAAGGCTATAGGAGTGGTGGAACAACTCAAGTGGTAGAGTACCTACCTAACATGAGGCCCTGACTTCAAGCTCCAGTACCACCAAAAAAATATAGAAAAAGGCTGTGGGTCAGTAATAGGTCACCCTCTCAGGTTTCTCCTCTAGCAGAAATTTGCCTGCCAGCATCTGTAGCCTAGGTTTTGAAAACAGCTTTAAAAAAGAACTTTGTGAGTTGTAATCTGCTGACCCCAGTGGTAGTGTTTTGTAATCTAGGTATCATCTCCTTTTTTTACAAAGAAAAAAAAAAGGCCCTTGCCAGTTCAAGGAAGAGAGGACCAGTTTCTTAGAAATGCATATTAAAAAAAAAGCCAAAGCAGCCATTCTCATGGTTTCCTTTCTCTTTCCCTTGCCCACTTACAACAGTACTGGTTGGTGCAATCGTGGGGTGACTATTTTGGGGCCCTATGAACTTCTCCATGGAGGTGGATTTCCTATCACAAGTAGAAAGTAGATTCACCAAATCTAGTTGAGCAACACTGGTTTTCTCTTTTCTGTACTAGCACAAGCTTCTTTAAGGCTAAGCTTTCTTCTCTGACCCTTGAGGGAAAGACCTCTAAATTTCCTGGAGCCTGTGATTTGTCAAGGACTGACTTAAGACTAGAACTTCAGCAAACAGCCTGCCTTTTGACGCTCCCCCCCCCCCAACAGGCTTTTAATGAAGCAGAATGTAATCATATGTTATACAGACTTTGCTTTTTCTAATTTCAGGTATATTTTTTTATAATGGGCATCCAATAAAACAGGTAGATATCCTGGGAACTGTCATTGGAGTGAAAGAAAGAGATGCCTTCTACAGTTATGGAGGTAAGAGTGATTGTGTCTGAAACTGAGTTCATATAGAAAGTCCCCACTTCGCTGAAAGTTGAGTTTCAGATCAGCTGGGGACCCTCACAAAGCCTGCTGCTCTGTTGGGACTTCTTGGAGCCCCACATATGGACTAGTGTAAAATGAGACCACACGTAAGAATGATACTGATAAATATTGTGAAGTGACTGTTGCTAGGGAGTGAGGAGGTGGAAGAATTAAAATACAGGAGTCTAAGATACGTGACACCTGCAGGCATAGCTATAAATAGCGAAGGGTGGAAAGATGTCTGTAGTCATACCTTTACAAAGAAGAGGCCAGGTTCATGTAAAAGTAGACTCTTTAAGAAGGCAAGGAGATGTTAAAAATCATTTTAAAAGGTTTATATCCAGGACAGTTGGGGGAAAAAAAAAAGCCTTTTGGTACTCAAAGAGGTAAGTATTCATTATCAGAAAATTTCCTTTTTCTTGTGGTGATGGAACCTAAATAAAAAGTTTCTAGGTTTTAGGCACTAAAGATTTTCTAGAATGTGATTTGGTGTAGTGGATGTTGACTTTTTTGACTTTAATATAAATATTTTAATACATTGCCTTGTGCAACTCCAAGATTCTCCATAATTAAGAGGCCATGCTGGATGTTTGTTGGGAAGTTTAACTTTCAGTTCCAAACTTTTGCTATAATTGACATTGTCACTCTTTGTGGTGTTGCCCTGTATTTGTATTCTTGCTCTACTTGGGGAAAGATAGGAATTGAACTTAGCAACCAAGAGCATTTCTTTGACACTCTATGCATGATTGATGATTTATAGATACAGTATCATTATATTTTTTCGACATTTGTTCATTGTTTATTTTCCTGAAGATAATTGTCTTGTGCTTATAAAATAACATGTGAGCGATGAGATCTCATGTTCTGTCAGGCTTTCCCATACTGACCCGCTTCATAGCTTTATTTTACCAAAGATACTGGTCCTGTTTTTCTCCAAGACAACTCAACAAACATTTGCTAAGTTCTGACAGTGTACCGAGATGTGGGCAAGTACATTGTGTGTAGTACAACAAACTCCAAGTACCAATGATGAAATAATAGTGTATTTCGGTTTATGAAGCACTTTACATTCATCATTTCATGAGTTGTTTGACATAGAAGGAGCAGATATTATTTCCATTTTGTAGATGAAAAACCAAAGCCTATAACTTGTTCAGCATTCCACTGGTAGAGATTTGTGGGTGCAGTCTGCTGTTTACTGACCCTGCTGTACTCTGCTCTTTGTATATACCTCACATTGATTTTTCTCTTCCCCATCTCCTTCCTTTTCCAGTCTCCTGCCCCCACATCAGCTGGATTTGGTTTTTAGTTTTCTGTTTTCAGATCAAATAAATGAGGCTATTGAGGGCTTTAGTCCGGGCCCTAGAACCAAGCCAGAATTAGGCCTGCGCCCTAATGGATCTTCACTTAACCCTTCTACCATTATGAAAAGATTAAGGTGATAACATTTGATTCTTCTGTAAGAAGCCTTCCTCTGAATGGGTATTGTGAGAGGACGACACATCTGTGGGTTGCAGGAACTGGCAATATGGAAGTAATTGAGAGCAGAAACACTTCAGTGACTTCAGCTCTTGTTTGGCCTGCTCAAATGGAGAGCTGCTTCTGTCCCTGCTTCCTTAGGCCTACCTTGGCTCACAGACCACCTTCCAGGTGGTCACTCCCTGCTGCCAAAGGTCCTGCTTCCCCTCACTCACCGCAGGCCCATGCCAGGGATGCTTCTGCCCACACTGACTTGTCTCATTGCCCCACCACAGAGGATGTGGTACTGCACGTGGTACTCCGGCATCAGCAGCAGGTCTCAAGGACCCTGGCACAGGGTCTGTTGGGAGAGGCTACAACAGGGAAGTCAGGGTTTGGGAGCAATGCCCATGGTGCATGGAGTACCTGGCAGCAACTCAAGCTTAGACTGGAATCTTGGGAGGCTCCAGTCAAGACCAGAATGAACTTACAGTTTCCTAGAAGAAACATTCATCTGCTCTTTTTTTTTTTGACTTTCCATTATAAATCAAGATTTCCAATTGACAAGAGAAGAGGTAGACCTAGTGGTGTCAATACATGTTTAGACTCAAAATGTTCTTTGTTTGTTTGCTTATACTTAAAATGATACTTAGCCGAGCACCAGTGGCTCACACCTGTAATCCTAGCTGCTCAGGAGGCAGAGATCAGGAGGATCGAGGTTCGAAGTCATCCCCAGACAAATAGTCTGTGAGACCGTATCTCGAAAAACAGGGTTGGTGGAGTGGCTTAAAGTGAAGGCCCTGAGTTCAAGCCCCAGTACCGCAAAAATAAATAAATAAAATGATAGTTAAAAGATAAAATTTTAAACTAGAGAAAATTTTAATGAAGTACATAAAAGTCAAGAGAAACAGAATAAGGCTGGAAGAGTGGCTGCCTAGCAAGCATGAGACCCTGAGTTCAAACCTAGTACCGCAAAAAAAAAAAAAAGAGAGAAATAAAATCTGGAAAAATCAGTATCAGTGTTTGGGTGAACATCCTCCCTGATGCTCCTCACATGTTGCTAATATTGAAAAAATATGGAAAGCTTTATTTCCTTATTAGTATTAATGCACATATTTTTATCTTTTTTTAAAAATTAGACTTACAGTCAGTGTATACACTGAATGTGGGGTTCCTTCCCCATACTCCAAAAGATACTGCTATTAGTACTTCATGTCTTAAAGTCATTTCTGTCAAAATATTGCTGCCTAATGCTTTACATAAATTGGATTTTATGTAAGATTTATAGGATAAATAAGATTTCTGTTTTACAGTGAGGCATATATATCAACAGAGGTGAACATAGGTCTTCATTGTGACTTTTTATTATCATACACTATATTGTAATTTATTTAACCAGGTGCATATTTAGATTTCAGTATTATAAATAATATTTTGGTGAAGAGCCTTATACAAGATACATACATCTCTGCAATTGTTATTTTTCTCATCTAATTTGTTGGAAGTAATTGCCATGTCAAAGAATATATACATTTCAAATTTTGATACATGTTTATAAGTTTGCATCTAAGAAATTTGATACTAATGAATGTTCTCACTAACAGAATATGAAGATATCAGTATTTTTAATATTCATGAATGTGGTAATTGAGAAATCATTTACACCTGACTTTTTTTTTTAGCACATTGGCCATTTTTATTTTTTCCATGAATTGAGGCATTTTATTTATTTATTTATTTTTTACTTTTTCTCTTGTAGTCTCGGTCTTTTTCTTATAAATTTATAAAGAGGCAGCTCTTTATATATTAAAGTACTAGCTCTGAAAATTGAAAAATTGTTACTCATTATTAGTTTTTGGTCAGCAAACATCAGACTTTAAAAAAAAAAATTGAGTCCCGATTTTCAGGTTCTGCTTAAAGAAGTCACCCCATCAACTATAAGCCCGAGGTTCAAAATATTCACCCAGACCCTCTCCCTATGAAATCCATCTAAAATTTATTTTACTATAAGAAGTATTTTTAACCTTCTTCAATAGAGATTTAAGCCAATAATAAAATATTTTGCCTTATATTTCTTCTATATTACTTATGCTTTTACCACAGTCTACTTGATTTTTTTTTTTTTTAAATTATTAGGCCTACTGACCCCATGCTTAGCAGCCTCTGTTCTGAGCTTGTCAGAATTAGGCAAAGAGAAAATGCCTATCCTCCCATAGCAAATCTCCAAATGCCTCCATGGTTATAAATCTAGATGCCATGGGAATTGTTCATTTGGTTTTTTGTTTTGTTTTGTTTTGTTTTTTTGCTTTAGGAATAAAGTAAGCCAGACCAATATTATTTTGTGATCAGGATATAATTATTTCCTATTGTGAAAATAAAACTGTATCCTTCGGTGATATGCTTGGCTTTCCGTACATCCCCTGCAGGGGTAAGGACTGGGCAGAAGCCCTTTTACAAACATAAGCCCAAATAACATGAAACACTTTACCCTAGGAAGTGAACTAGTGAAAGAGAAGTGGTAGCAGAAGGCTGAGCCCTGGGTGACCACAGACCACGTGATACTATCTTGTTTCAGGGTGAGAGAGAAGGCTGGATTTAGTTGTGGGCACTCACTGAGATTTTTGCACATAACTTCCTGAGCATAACATTCTTACCAGATAGGTACAGAGGAGAGTCATTAGTACCCTTGAGGTAGGGAAAGGGAAACGCTGGGTACGTCCCACTGGGCTCAAGTGATACACTGACAAGTGCAGGCAAACTGTTCATACTGGTGTATGGTGAGAGATTGTTTCTAAAGATGAAGGTAGAGTTTGATAAGGGATTTGCCCTTATCCAATTTGCCCTTTTCACTTTCCTATTGAAAAACGCCATTTTCATTATGACTGAATGGAATGATGACATGGGAATTCACTGCTACACTTTTCTTGCAGTGGATGACAGCACTGGAGTTATAAACTGCATCTGCTGGAAAAATCTGAGCAATTCCGAGTCTTCAGCAGGTAATCTTACTTGCCACTTTCCTTTGCTTTTCATCTAACCAATGGACTTTTACTCAAGGCTGTTTTCATAGTCTTCCCCTTGTGAATTATGGGCTTGAAGTGCTGTACCCAAAGCTTTAGCTGCTGTGAAAACTGGCACCCTGGGGTGGAGGCTGCCTCTCTTTCTCCCATCTCTTTGGTGCTTACTTCCTCCTAAGCTATTGGGAATGTGAAAAGATCCCTAGGACTTTCAGCAGTTCATTTTTACCTTCCCAGTTATTTGGTAAGTCAGGATGTTTTAGGGGATTTATCTTTCAGAATCCATCTTGTTACATTAGTTAAGTTACACACTGGAGCCTTGTTCCAGCAGTTTGGCTCATCCTTTAAATGAAAGCTGGGCCTCCTCCAGACCAGCCGTCAGCCTGATCATTTCAGTGGTGCTGTAGCATTATTATCACCTATAATGTCTGCATAATGCCAGTGAAGTTTATAAATACTTTTCAACTTAGACCCAGGTAGCAGTGGGCCTGGGGATAGGAGAATGGATGGAGCAGCCTTTTAGAAAGTGATTCTTGAGTATTTTAGGAAGAGCCCCAGTAAGCCAAGCAGCATGGATACCACTGTGTCTAGTTTTGTAGGTATTGGTTACTGCATGTGTAGTCCTTAGGCTCCCTATGCTGCTGTTTCCCTCAGTCTAGCAAATGTGGTAAAATTAATGCCTCTGTTGCCAAAAAAGCAGAAAATTTAATTAAGAGACCAAAAGAGAAAGATCTAACCCATTATAGAAATAATATAGAAGACAAACTGGAAATTATACAACAGTGGGGAAAAAATCAATATTTAACAAGTGTTGTTTCATGTACATATCAGATTTTAAAAGAGTTCATTGTAATAATGTCTTGATGATTACATAAAGCGACCCTCAGAAGAGAGAGTTATGTATTTATCCTAACACGCATATTAAGCTCTCATAAGTCCCTAACTGGTCAAGCACTGAAAACTGTCATCAGTGACAAGAAGGAAAAACTAAAAAAAAAAAGGTTTTTTCAAACTTTGTGCAATAGAATGAGGTTAAATAAACATAAAAAAGAAAGCAGTGGAGTGAGGAGAGTGTGTACGATAAAGGGGCCCTGAAATTGGAAGAGAAAAGGGCTTGTCCACAAAGAAGCACAAACAGTGAATCACCTTATATAAAAACATCACCTCTTGCAATTTAAAAGCAAAGTGAAGCTTTATGAAATCACAGTGTATTTATTATAGCTTTAAAGGTCTAAGAGACTGAAGCTGGGGTGGGAGCCAGGAGGTGAGCACACATGCATTGTTGGTGACATCACGTAAAAACAGAATGGCTTAATTATTTTTCTGGTAAACATTCTAACAGTATGAAATGCACTGTAAATTCCATGCATGACCCAAAAAGAATCAATTTTGTGTAGCGAGCTTAATCATTATCAGCAGAGTGTATATTTATCATTTCCCTTAGGTCTGACATTGTGTTATACTCCCAGTGTAAGGGTTAAATTCAGTCATGCCCAACTCCATGAGATAGATAGACTCTGCCATTGTCTCTGTTTTATAATTAAGGAAACTGGAACTTAAGAGTAGAAAAGAAATAGACACAGTGAGGTTAAGCAACCTGTCCAAAGTCACACAGATAATGAGAGGTAAACTGAGATTCAAGTCAAGTCTTTCTGACTCCAGGAGCCAAATACTACCCTCTGAACTGTACGGCCCCATGAAGTGGTAAAAATCAAAATTAAAATTTATTAAAGTGGAGGAAGTAGTTAGCAAGACTAGCTAACTAAACTGACATGTGAGCAAGACAGAATGCTATATTATATAAAATACTGAGTTGTTCCCAGCACTAGGGAAGCTAAGGCAGAGGAATGAGAGTTCGAGCCCAGCCCATACTATGCAGTGAGACGGTCTCAAAAAGCAAAACAACAACCAAGAAATGCTGACTTGCTAGATTCTGTGGATGCATATGAGTATTTGGAATTATGCTAGGCAGAAAAAGAGAATGCAAAGTCTTTTATTCCAACCAGCTCTAACTGTGGAGAATGTAAGCATCCTCAGGGCCGCTGGCTGGCAGAGAATGGAAGACAAGCAGAAAGCTGTGCAGTTGAGAGACTGTAGGAGATCACGCCACAGCTTTGAACTAACTAGCTATTTTACTTGGGGCAACTTGCTTGTGACTCAGTGTCTTATCTCTGAAATGGGCCTAATAATAGATGGAAGTGATTATAAAGCTTAGATGCACTAATATATTATAAAGTCCTTAGAACAGCATCTATATACCCAAACATTCATGGCTATTCTTACTTAACTTTTATTTTTTATAATTACTTAAATAGTTGTGTTTTGAGGTTTTGTGTGTGTGTGTGTGTGTGTGTTACCAGGGTTTGAATTCAGGACCTCTGGAATCATGCCCTGAGCCCTAACTTTATTCTTTTTTATTTAATACAATTTGGAAGTAAAATTCAGTGGTAGAGATTATGGAATATGCTTTTGCCTCTTTTTTACCATGAAGTTGGTTAAAGTTGAGTTGTAGTTTTAAGTGTGTAGAGGGAGGCGACAGAGAGAGAGAGAGAAAGAGAAAAGAGACATAAGAGAATGAAAGAGAGAGATATTAGCCTAGCTCCTGAGTAATGAGAGGCAAGAGATTAGGCTGTTGAGTGCCTAGATGGAACAAGTTTCTCTGCGTGCATGTTTCCTTCTTCCTTCCTTCCTTCCTTCCTCCTTCCTTCTTCCCCTCCTCCCTTCCTCCCTCCCTTCTTTCCTTTTGAGGCAAGGTCTCAATATTATGTAGCTCAGGCCCAGCCTCCTGAGTAGCTGGGATTACAGATATGCCCATGCCAGCTCTGCATACACACTTTAAAGGGTTGTTTAGGACTCTTCCCCCAACCCTGCCTGAACACATTGTGTAGAATTCTGCTGAGAACCAGTTGTGCTGGGGGTGGGAAAGAAGGCACTGAAGCCGCCCTGAAACTCGCCCCCTTGGCTTCTGTCCAGCCCCCTTTCCCTTCACTTTATAATTGCAGCCTATGACTTTTTTTTTTTTTTTTTTTTCGGTAGAGGATTTCAAAAGGTTATGTGGATTTCCTGCAGTAGAGCAACCAATTGCAAGGAGAGCAAATGTATTGTGTCATTCTTACCCTCAAATGGCCTCCCCACATGCTGGGGTGATTGTGTCACATCTCTCTCTCTTTCCTGCTGGCCCCAACAGCTACAGCTGCTCCAAGTGCAGCAAGAGAGCTGAGCGTGACCTCACAGTTTAAGAAGCTGCAAGAAACCATTGAGCAGAAAACTAAGATAGAAATTGGGGACATTATCCGAATCAGAGGCTATGTCCGCACGTACAGAGAAGAGCGAGAAATTCATGCCACCATTTATTGTAAGCACAAGAAGCTTCTGCCATATTGATTGCTATTCTGGGTTTGGGTTTAGTAAATGCTTGTTTAACTCAAAGTCAAACTTGCAAAAAGTTCAGATAAGGTTGAGCTCAATTAGGGAAATTATACTACTTTCTTTAGAAAAGCAGATTGTATTTCTTAATTTTGTTTTGAAGAAAGATAATTATAAGTACATTGGGAAAGAAAATGAATTATTGATTCTATATAGTTGGCAGGTGTATTTGGACAGAATAGTAATTGCCACAGTACTTTGAAACTCTTGTGAATCTATTACAGCAGTGTTCATACTCTTCAAAATGACAGAAATTTCTTGAACACCATTAAGTGCATTAAGGTTAAATGGAAGGAGCTAACCAGAAACAGGACAGCCCCAGGTCATCTCCCCCTTTTCACTATGCTAGTTTAATTGGAAATCTCAAGGATAACCCCTGTTGTCACCCAAGAAGCAGATAAATGATATATGGATACATTTTCCTAGTCCCCATCCATGCCCTGGCCACACCTGTGATTCTGGGGGAATTGCCTTCCCTCTCTCTGGATGATTGGAAACCATCGTGTGCATCTAGACTGCTTTCCTAGAGGTGATTTGGACATGGGAAAGAAATGCTCTCCGTGTAATTTCTGTGGCTTGCTAGATAAAGTGGACGATCCCGTGTGGAACACTCAAATTGCAAGGATGATTGAGCTGCCTGCTCTCTACAGGAGAGTTTATGACCAGCCCTTCTGCAGCCCAGCCCTAGAGAAGGAAGCAGCACTGAGGTAAGTTATGCTCAGAACTGCTGAAATGTGACAGCAGTAGTGAGGCCAAGCAATGGGAGACAGGTGCTGAGTTGGCCAGCGTTCAAATCCCCAAGCATCCACTTGAGCGGGCACAGACAGGTATAATGCTCTGCACCTCAGTTTCCTCGTCTGCAAAGTAAAGATGGTTCAGATGTTCTGAGGTTGTCGTGAGGGAAATACACGTATAATCAGAGCCACTGAAGAACTGGAGTGGGGAGCGCAGGAAAAATACTTGAAGAAATGTCTGAAAATTATTTTAACTTGGATGACAGCTATAAACTCACAGCTCCGAGAAGCTCAACCCACCCCAAGGCAGTACAACTACACCAAGGTACATCATAACCCAAAACCTTCCACTCTCAGTCCCCACCCCAAAACAAATGAGACCATTGTTCTCAACCTCAATGCATATGACTCCTTAGTGTGAGGTGGGAGCAAAACACAACCCTGGAGGAGTAAGAATATCCAGGCATTTGGTAGAATGTGAGACAAGATACGGAGAGCCAGTATCAGGGGCTCCCTAGTGGTATTGGCTGGGAGGGTAGGATGGGGAGGGGAGAAAGGGATACTTTCCACTGTGTCTCCTTTATTTTTATTTTATTTTTGTTTTTACTGATCAAACCCAGGGCCTCACATATGCTAGCCAAATGCTCTACTCCTGAGCTACACCCCCAGCCCTCCCTTTAATTTTTTTGACATGTGAGTATATTACATATCCAAGAAATTGTATTTTTTAATAAATTTTTATTGTTTTATTATTCATATGTGCATGCAATGCTTGGGTCATTTCTCCCCCCTGCCCCCACCCCCTCCCTTACCACCCGCTCTGCCCCCTCCCTCCCCCCCCCATACCCGGCAGAAACTATTTTGCCCTTATCTCTAATTTTGTTGAAGAGAGAGTATAAGCAATAATAGGAAGGAACAAGGGTTTTTTGCTGGTTGAGATAAGGATAGCTATACAGGGAGTTGACTCACATTAATTTCCTGTGCATGTGTGTTACCTTCTAGGTTAATTCTTTTTTGATCTAACCTTTTCTCTAGTTCCTGGTCCCCTTCTCCTGTTGGCCTCAGTTGCTTTTAAGGTATCTGCTTTAGTTTCTCTGCATTGAGGGCAACAAATGCTAGCTAACTTTTTAGGTGTCTTACCTATCCTTACCCCTCCCTTGTGTGCTCTCGCTTTTATCATGTGCTCAAAGTCCAATCCCCTTGTTGTGTTTGCCCTTGATCTAATGTCCACATCTGAGGGAGAACATACGATTTTTGGTCTTTTGGGCCAGGCTAACCTCACTCAGAGTGATGTTCTCCAATTCCATCCATTTACCAGCGAATGATAACAAGAAATTGTATTTTTAAAAGTACAAACTATAGACCTATGTAAAATAGAAATTGGAAATTGTCCCCTCAGTACAGCCCCAGAGATTACCTGTGTTCCCAGGCTGCTGTGTTTCCCTTTAGAGTCCTTGCTTCTACACGTACTCAAGTGTGAATAGTTACTATAAATTTGGTAGGTTGTCCTTTGCTTTTTTTTTAGTGAGAATGGAGTTATACCTTCCATTCTATTCTGCAGCTTGGCTTTAGATTTCATGAATATCTCTGTTCGTTCTTACAGTTGTACCTCCCGATTTATACAACTACATGACTTCCTCTGTATGAATTGTCCTTTATGTAAAAATAAGCATCAATATAGTATTTCATTTTCTAGCTTTCTGTCTTATACACACCCAAAAGGAACAAAGGTGACAGTATTCTGAAGGGCTTTTAATAACTTTTCCCCAGCAGCAATCCAGGCACTCTGGATCTCACAGGTCTCACGTGTTTGCTGAGTGAAAAAATCAAAGAATTCCTCATGGAAAAGAGAGTGCAAACCTTCTACCAGCAGGAGTTGGAAATTGTGGAGTCCTTGCTGTCTCTAGCCAATGAGCCTGTGATTCACAACACCTGCTCCAACCAAGTGAGTGCTTCATGCTCACGTGAGAATCTGAGTCCCCTGCTCCAGTCCACTGCTGAAGGGCTGAAGCGTATAGGTGACCATGACTGTGGCATTAAAACTCATATATGAACAGAGGTCATGGTTCTAGTACATGTCATTTCTATTCTGGAAAGGTCACTGACCACTAAGAATTTGCAGTGAGGCTGGACCTGCCCTTTTCTCCTCCTTAATCTCTTTGCAGTTAATCTTTGAGTCGAAAAATAATAATAGACTAAGGTCATAGCACCTAGTTGTTAGTACTCACTGAGATGAGTATTTAATCTTAGCAGAAGCCAAATGAGGGGGAAGGAGATGAGAGGAGGTAATTATTCTCCATCTGAGATGATTTATTGATCAACAGGATGATTCTTGAACTTGAACCAGGGTTTTTAACAACTTGTTCTTCAGAATAAGGTTTTAGGAATTTAAATGTAGACCAAGTTGTATTCAGCCTGGTTAATCAGTAAGAATTTCAAGAACACTGAAGAAATTTCCTATTCCTCTTTGAAAAATTATCCCCATTTTTTTAACCTCTGGTGTTATAGATGAATTTGTTGCTTGGTATTTGTGTATTTATTGGAAATTAAGAGTTATTGGAGACTTTGGTTTTAGGCTTTCCCTTTTATTACTGTTCTTAGGTTTGTTGCTGTTGTAACATGATCATTTAAATAAATGATTGCACCTTAAATGTCATCTTTCACCCTATCTGCTCTGATTGCCACTTGTCCCTCACTATAATTAACCTGCTCCACTCATCTGTGATGTCACTGGCATTTATTTGTTTTCCTGCCTGTCCATGCACAAAAATTTAAGATCATGGAATATGGAGGCCTTGTCTATCTTCCTTGCCCTCTACGCAGGGAATGGAACAGGGCTGGATAAAGTAGGCTGTCAGCAATTATTTTTTAATTGAAGGAAGGAAAGATTTTTTAAAATTCAAATGGCCCCAAAAAATTATAGTTAAAAGTAGGGCTGGGCATGGTGGCACATGCCTGAAATCCCAGCACTCAGGAGGTTGAGGCAGGAGGACTCGGAGTTAGAGGGCAGCCTGGGATACACAGTGAGACCCTGTCTCACAAAGAAAAAAGATTTAGTTCCAATCCTTCCTAGCAACAATATATTCCGTGCATATATCAACTATAAGTAGTGTAGCCCCTTCTTCTTACCCAAACCATAGCAAGCTGTGGTATTATTCAGAGACGTAGCTTTTCACTGAGCAGTGTGTCCTGCAGATCCTTCCCTGTGGTACAAATAGATTTCCCACGATGTACTAATCTTTCTTCCTTGCTCATGTATTTAAACAGTCTCTCCATTCCTAGGCTGTTCAGATGTTTTTCAGTGTTCTCCCATTACCAACCAGGCTGCTGTGAACAACCTTACTAATAACCTAAATTGTTCTGTGTGCTTCTGGTGGAACAGATACCAGATCGCTATCCTGACCTCCCAAGGCCTGACCCCTGCTCCTCAGTTTTGTTCACTCACCTACTTACCTCTTCCTGGTAGCAGGCTCATGTGCTTGAGACCCAGGACTTCATATAGGGAGATGAGGGATAGCGTTTCAGAAAACTCTCAGGTGAAGTGTGTCACAGTTGGGTGATTTGTGTTTTGCCAGGTTGCTTCTAAGCAGTTGTGGCTTTCCAGCTGTCCACTTTCCATTGACCTTTTTCCCATTGAATCATTTAGAGGAGGCTCAAAGCCAGATTGACCTCCTAGGACTATGACTGTCAGCAGGTTTGCAAGGAAACAAATGCTTAGTGAAGCCCACATTCTGCACACAAGGCCTGCTCTCCTGTGATGGCTGTAATTAACTAGAGAGACTGAGAACTCTAGACTACAGGCTCCTCCAGTCAGAATTATCTGTGGAGAAGTTTGGGCATAATACCTTTTTGAAAAAGCTTAGAATGGAAATTTTTGTCTGTCCAGTGCTATAAAAGAAATGAATATGGTGCTTGTCTTTGGAAACAATTTTTCCGTCAATTATGAATTAATCATCACATTACTTTTGTTGAAAGGTCAGTGTCATTCAATTAAATTCCATTGACTTGAACCTGGGGAGACTAAAGATGGTGCAACCTGAGAGCCTTTCACTTTCTGTGGTCATACAGACTAAAAAGTCACCATGCTGGTGTCCTAGTTCAGACACAGGAGAGCTATTGGAATGTTTTCCTTTTTTTTTTTGGTTTTTTTTTGGGGGGGGGGTTCCCCCATCATAGCCCTTCTTAGAAAATCAAGAAACATGATAAGCAGATCTTGCAAAACCATTGTTTCCTTGACAGCTGGATGAATGTGGAGTTTGTTTGGGAGTGAAGACTATATATATTTCAGGGAGCCACCCAGTTCCTGACCAGAGCCTCAGGCTCAGCTTGTTCAGCCTGTTGCTGCTTTAGTCTGCAAACAATTTTGGTTTCCTGAATCGCCTGAGTCTGTCATTGCTCTTTTGAAAACATCAAGCAACGCACAGATCTCAGTCTTAAACTTGATGCTAGCTTTTCATAAGAGGTAGCCTGGAGGACTTGCCCTTGAGACTGATCTTGAAGCCAGGCTGGGAAGTATGTCCCGAGGTCAAATGAGGCAAAGGTTTCTAGAAAGGAAGTGTCACATGCTGTTTATATCTACCAAGAGCCATTTCTGTTGAGTCCCCCTTGTTCACAGCTGAAACTGCTTTTGCTCTCCCAGGCCTGTTCCTTGGTCTTCCTGAAGAAAGGAGCTAATGTGTAAGCAAAAGATTTCCCAACAGCTGGCGTAGCTTTCTGATTTAACACTCCATGTTATTGCATTAAACAAACAAATCACAACTAAAGTATGGAACAGTTATAAAGTGTGACCCAACCAGAGCAAACTTCAGCCCTTCCTAAACACCATCCTGCTGGGCGGGATGGTACTTGCTTAGCAGATTAGGAGCCTGTTGGGTGAATTCATAAGCCAGTTGGTCTGGGAGTTGCTCCTAGGTGCTGGGAGATGGGACTGACTTCTTTTCTTTTTCTTTTTTTTCCGTTTCTTCTCCATACAGGTGGAGTTTAGGAACGACACCACTTCCAAGGCAATTCATAGTATATTTAAGAGTGCTATACACCTGCTGCAGGAAAAAGGACTCGTTTTCCAGAAAGATGGTGGTTTTGATAACCTGTACTATGTAAGACACCCACAACTTAATTTTTTCCCCTCATGGCTTCAATATACGTTTATTACTTATGAATAACTGCTTACTATCTAACAACATCATTAAGAATATACATAAAGTCAGAAGTGAGTCAGCCCTTATCTTTCTTCAGGGCACTTTTAGCCAGATATCCTTCTAAACATTTATCTGTACATTTACAAATACATACACAAAAACACTCCTGTGGATTTTTTTGTTTTACAAAAAAAAAAAAAAATGTGACTATCTTCTAAATCAGGAATGGTCAGTCTTACACCATTTGGCCAGATGGCTGTTTATTAGGGAACTGTCCTGTGTATTGAAAGATATTAAGCGGCTTCTCTGACTTTCACTCACAAGATGCCAGTAGCACCTCCACCATTGTGACAACCAAAACTGTCCCCTCGGACAGCTGAGAACCACTGCTCCAAATAATGAATGCTCAGCAACCTTTTTGGTATCAAAACAGAACATCCCAGGCACCTCTCTGTGTTAGTACTTATGACTCTACCTGGTTCTTTTTTCCCTATCTCATTCTTGACACAAGCATGATGTTCCATACTATGGGTACTTACCGTCAGTTTTTTAGCCATTCCTTTTTGGGGTACATTGATGGTGTTTCCAACCTTTGCTGTCACAAGTAGTGTTGCAAATAGCCCTTTCTTTACCATTGTCTCTTGAGAAGTCAGGTCAGCCTTTCTGTAAGATTGACTCCTGATGGGAAGTTTCAGAAACAAAGGACATGTTGTTTACACTTTTGGTGTCATAGTCTAACTGGCCTCCTACCAGGATTAACTTGAACAGCTGGTTAAAATTTCTGCTCTGACTGTGAGAGGAGCCAAGCCAAGGATGGGCCTTCTTGGGACAACTGGCACAGTAGCAGAGATGTGTCTTCAAGGAAGGGAGAGCCTCCTAGAGACATGGGTCTCACCACCTACAGGCCAGATTCCTGGGGGGAGGTTTCCCTAACAGGGCATTTCCTGATGGTGATTATGGCAGTGATTCTCCCCCTGAAAGAGTTTGAAAAATTCACAGGTATTTTCAGTACTACTGAATAACTTCTGAGAGAGGCAGTCCAGCCCCAATACTACAATTGCGGTCCACCCATCCAGGGTTGGGAAGGCTGCATGAGTGTTGGGCGGACATTGTCATGCTGGACAGGGCAGCTCAGCTCGAGTCCCCTTTGGACACACATTCTTGCAGGCTCTGGGCCCAGCCTTCTTTAGGGTCTGTAAAGAGCAGCCCTTCCTGGGGAGCACAGGGCTATAGGCAGCTGCCCAGGGTGAGGTGTGGCAGCACTGAGCACTTCCTCCTGTGAATCACTATGAGTTGGAATGGGGTGATCAAACAAGAATAGAGCTCCAGTCCCCTTCTTGGATGTCACTCCTCCCTTTCCACTCCTTGCCTGCCCTGTAGATTTCCTTTCTGCTGAGGCCCAGCCTCAGGGATCCAGTTATCATACTAATATCAGTACTTCTGTTTGTCCACTGCTTTCCAGCTTCCTTGTGAGTTCAAAGAAGGCAGGTGTTACCAGTGTCACCATCCTCTAAGTCAGGTCCCACAGGCATTCTCGGGCTCTCTCTAAAGTGGAAATTTACAGCCATGTGTTTGCATAATTAGCTTCTTCTTTTCTTGCTCTCATCCTCCCTTCTCCCCCTTTCTTTTTTCCTTCTTAAATCCTTTTCCTCTTCCTTTCTTTCTTATCATTTTTTTGTTGTTGTTGTTGCTATCAGATTTACTATTGAATATGAAGGTAAAATCTATTTGGTTGCTACTTCCCTTTTACTGGAACTGGTTGAGGAGAAAACAGAGTTATATTTGCCTTTGAGAACAGAAGTATCTCGATGGACAGGCTAGATTGCTCCTGCTAGTTTTTCCTTACAATTTTTAATTTGATTTTTCCTTGTGCTTATGGGAAAGAAGAAAACTAATAAAACACAAAATAAGTGTCAAGAAGGCGTCCTGGGGTAGGATCAAAGACTGATCCCTTGATCGTTTGAGTGGTCACTTGTGCTCCCCTCAAAAATATAACAAAAGCCAGGAATGATGGCGCACACCAACAATTCCAGTACTCAAGAGAAGGAGATGGGAAGATCCTGAGTTTGAGGCCAGTCTGGGCTACGTAGCAGGACCCTATCTCAAAAAAAGAGCGAGACAGAAAGAGAAATGTTGTGAGTGTTGAGGAAGAAAATTGCTCCTCAAAAGTACAGAATTCCAGCTTTTCTTTATATCATGGCCCCAGTGAGGATGTGTCAACTCCTGCTTAGGGTCAGAGCTAATTTGACAGCAGGCTAAGTATCAAAAGCACACCATTGGTGTAGGGAGGATGGTTGTTAGGAAATCTTTAGAATCTAGCTACATGCTAATTAGGGTGTCTGGATGGCACAGCTGCCATGTTACCTAAGAACATTTTCTCTCTGAATGATCTTTCCTATTTAGGTAACCAGAGAAGACAAAGACCTACAGAGAAGGATCTACCAGATCATTCAGGAAGAATGCCAGAAGCCAAATCGTAAGTGGTGTAATATACAGGTGACGCCCTGGTGCCCCAGAAGGGCAGAAATCTGCATGGGAGAGTCAGGAAAGGGGGTTTTTTTCTCAGTCATGACTTAGAAAGGTGATAGTTAAGGCACCAGCCCTCTCTGAACCACAGTTGGCTGGACATTGGACACAAGTGGAGCTCGCTGAAACGTGCAGTGCCCACATCCCACCTTGGGGGTCCTGATTTCTGTGGGGCACAGGGAGGGGGCTCCACAGGTAAGCTCCTCAGGATTCTGATACGGTGAGGTGAGCCTCTGCACTGGGACTCTGGGATATCCCTCTGAATCGCTGTTCTCTGTATTTGTTGTCTCATGCTTACTTCTTGTCTTTGAACATTAACTTGACATTTCCCGGTGTGGGGTGGAATGGTTCTAGACTTTAGAGTTTATGAATGATGTAATTCAGTTGTTTTGGAGACTGATAATTTGCAAATGAAATGGGTTAGAAAGTAGTTGGGTTTTGTGGAGTTAGGTCAGCCCCTAGTGGTGAGACCTCAAAATGCAGCTAGTCTGACTACGAACATGACCACTTTCACACTAGTCAGTGAAGAAAGCATTAGGCCTGACTTTAAATTCTGTATAAACTGGTCAGTCTTCAAGGTAACTTTTCAGAATCTACCATTTGCAAACAGATGCTAGTAATCAATATTGACTTAGCTCAACGCATGATGCTAGAAGAAAAATGGAAAGGGTTGTTAATGACCCCGCATCCTGTCCTGCTTTTTATCTGTCCTGAGAGGTCCACTTCAGTCCTTTCAGCCCAGACATCTCTTGGGGCCTGGAACTGCTCCAGAATGAGTCAGTAGGTGGAAAGGGGCCAAGTCTTGCACCCTGGTGTTTAGGACCCAATAAGGTCAGAGCCCAGAATGGTGTGACAACAGGTCTTAAAATAAACTCAAAGCAATCTATAGTTTTAACGCAAGGAAATGAATGCTGTTCCCTTCATTCACAACAAGAAGAACAAGCATCCTTTAACTGAGGGGAAGTCTTTCTGTCCACCAGTTAGGGAGCACTGGGGAGATCACATCAATTTCTTAGCCAGGAGGGATGAGAAGGTACTTCCAAGATTCCATTCCTACCTCCCAGGCCCTCTGGCCACATAATTTGTTTGATCTGCATTAGACATGGTTTAAAGCCTGTGACCTGGTGAAGCAAGTGAAAGGAATTCACTTATTTTGTTAGGAGGACCTAGCAGCCTTGGGTGACTGGAAGGGCAGTAAAAGTGGCACAGGCCAGCTTCTGCCTAGGGGAGCATGCGTGTTAAGTGGACAGACTCTTCCCCTCAGCCTGTACATGGAAGCATCCAAACCCACAAGCCAATCGCCTGACACTAATGAACTCCCAGGACCCATGTTCTGGAGCCTCCATAGCAGAGTGCCAGTGAAAGACATGAGAACGATCCTGACATCAGCTACAAGCAACTTTCTTCATATTGCAAAGCAAGTACTACTCTGTACTTGGGAGGCTAAGATTGGAAGGATCATTGTTCAAGGCCAGCCTGGGCAAAAGGTTAGTGAGACCCCATCTCAGCCAATTGCTGGGCATGGTGGCACACACCTTGTCATCCCAGGCTCTGTGGGAGACTGAGATCAGGAGGATCGAGATTCCAGGACAGCTCAGGTAAAAAAAGTTTTCAAGACACCATCTCAACAGAAACAAAGCTGGGTGTAGTAGTGCACGCTAATTATCCAAGCATAAGATAGAAGGATCTCGGTCCAGGCTGGCCTGATCAAAAAGTGAGACCCTGTCTTCAAAATAACCAGAGCAAAGAAAGGCGTGGCTCAAGCAGTAGGGCATCTACCTTGCAAGCCAGCACTGCCAAAAAAAATGTTCTGAATGGGGAGTGACTCAAGTGGTAGAGCACCTGCCTAGCAATCGTGAGACCCTAAATTCAAAGTCCAGTACCACCAAAAAAAAAAAAAAAATTACTCTGAATAATGTATACACATGGTAAAAAGTCAGGTAGTGCAAAAATCCATACAGAAAAGTACGACTTTCTCCTAGCAGCAAGCCCCAGGCTGTGTTCCCCAATCCAAAAGCATGGTTGTAGCTAGTTCTTCTAGAGATGGTTGATGCTCTTGCAGATGTTACTTGTAGGTTCATCCTTCCTTAGAAACATGAGATTAGCCTACCATCTACATGGTCCTACTCCTCGTGTTTTACATCCAACAGTGTGGGGTAGAGGGGCTGGCAGAGTAGCTCAAGTATTAGAGTGTCTGCCTAGCAAGTGAGAGACCCTGAGTTCAAACCCCAGTACCACAAAAAAAAAAAAAAGATGATACATCCAATAGTGGATCCTAGAGTCATTTGGCAATAGCACTGCACATATAAAAGGTCCTCAGTCTTCTTAATAGCTGCACAGTGTTCTACACGTGTCCAGAGAGACACAGGACCATTTGCTTCCCCACCCTACCAGGCCTTTGTTCACTTTTGACCTTTCATAAAAAAGCATTAAGGTCTTCCTCGTCTGGGTGACCAGTAGAAGACTGAAACTCTTCAGTTACTCATGAGTGTCTCAGCAAGGATAAACCTGCAGTAAGGGCAAGAGTGCACACATCCAGGCTCTTTGAGGATCCTGAAAGACTGGCTGGACATCATGTGACCTCAGGGAGAGCTGGGCTTCAGAACACACCCTTCTCTCCCCCATATACACACTTTGTGAACAGTGAGCCTGTGCCTCAGGTCCTTTGTGTTAAAAAGAGGGTGGTAACAGTACATTCCTGATGGGTTGCTATGAGAAGTTACCAAATTGGAGTTTGTAAAGCTGTTGTACAAGAGTCCTTGGCAGATAATTAGAGCTACAAAAGGATTAGAGAAAAATGAAACTCCCTTTCCTAACAGACCAGTGGTGGCCCTAACTTGGTGACCTAGGGTTCTGAATCTGTATGTGGAGTTTGCTCTGTTATTGGTGGACTAAAATTGTTTTTTAAATCTGAATTTCATTTTTAAGTATGAGTACAACAGGTGCTAGATTATCCAGAAAGAAAGGGTTCCACGTTGATGATGTCTTTTTATCCCTAACTATTTTATTCTGAAAATGTTTCTACTGTAATAAAAATACCCATATACTCTTCCCCTTGATTCACTGAAATATTTCAGCTTGTATCTACTAAGCATAGGGACATTCTCCTACATGCTCTCCCCAGAAGTTTCACTCCTAAGAAAGTTAACGTTCTCTGAGTTCTAAAATGACAGCGTTTCACTAGGTGGTCACTTGAGGCCAGCAGTTGTTCACAGAGCCCACGTGTGTCTACCTCAGATGCAGTTATGCCTATGATGCTCTTAGACACTACTCATGTTGAAGTGATGCTTTTTAAACTTACCATAGTCACTTAAAACATTAAGGCCATTTCCTAGCCTTTCATAGTAAGTAGATTATATCTGAGGTTTATCTTAGCATGATTTGGGTCTTTAGGACCTCAGCTGTTTTGTGTTTCTGATGGAGGTATGGTCCAAATGAGGCTTTATGCAAAAGTACCTAGGAAACATAAAGCTCAAGTTATCACTGCTCTTCAAGATGCCACATAAAATAGCCATGTTTGGGCCAAGTGCAGTGGCTCACATCTGTAATCCCATTTATTTGGGAGATAGAGAATGAGAGTATCACAGTTCAAGATTAGTCCAGGCAAAAAGTTATTGAAACTCCCATCTCAATAAATAAGCCAGGTGTGGTGCTTCATGCCTGCAGTTCTAGCCACTTGGGAGACATAGGAAAGAGGATTGTCTTCTAAGGCCAGCACAGGCAAAAAGTTCAAGACCCTATTTGAAAAATGACTAAAGCAAAAAGGGCTAGGGGCATGACTCAAGTGTTAGAGGGCCTCCCTAGCAAGCACAGGACCTGAGTTCAAACCCCCAGGCCCCAAGGCACTGGTAGTTCACACCTGTAATCCTAGCTACTTGGGAGTCTTAGATCAGGAGGATCACAGTGGTTTGAGGCCGATGCAGACAAATACTTCAAAAGACCCCATCTCTGAATTAACCGCCATTGGGCAGTAGAGTGCCTATTTTGCAAGCATGAACCTTGAGTTCAAACCCAAGTCCCACCAAAAAAAAAAGAAGAAAGCAAACCATGCTGTGTCTTCCAGGCAGAAACCTTTCAGGAAGTCCATTGTAGCTGGTGGATTGTCTGAAGGGTTGAAGATCACTATACTAATCACTGGGGTTTTTACTACCGGTCCTATTTTCTAACAATTTCTCCCCTGAAGAAGAGTCTTTAGTCATGTTCCCCATGCAACTGGAAGGTCACTTTGGGAACAACCTCAGCAGACCACCTTCTGAAGAAGTGGCTAAAGGCCTGAGACTGTCAGCATCACTGTCTAAGGCCTGAGTCCACACATCGGCCTCAAAAACTGAGGTTAAAGCTGAACAGCGGGCCGGTACTCCTATAATCCTAGTTACTCAGGAGGCAGAGATCAGGAGGATCTTGGTTCGAAGCCCAGGCAAATAGTTCGTGAGACCCTATCTTGGAAAAAACATTCACAAAAAAGGGTTGGTGGAGTGGCTCAAGGTATAAGCCCTGAGTTCAAACCCCAGTTTGAACTCCCAAAAAAAAACCAAACCACTGAGCAGTGCTGAAATTTCTTGTGCCTGCTGGCTCTCCACTGTGGGCGGCTGGTCTGAGGAGTGCTTCTCCCCTCCAGTGTGAGCCCATCCACCAGCTCTTGCTATGGGCTTTTTTTCTCCTGAGTCTTTGTTTCTAGGAAGGGCTGCAGCTTCTTTAGTAGGATGGCCTCAGAGTATGAGTGTGACATAGTGGGGGGTGGGGGAGGAAGCACTTGCTACATTCTTTCCCTCACACAACCACCCTGTGGATTGGGTGGTTTTATTCCCATGAGCCACTTTGTCCAGTCATAGAGGCAAGAGTTACACTCAGGTCTTTTGGAATCCAGCGTCAGCTCTCCATTAGCCGTGCTCTACATGGTTCCCCCGATCAGTGCTGCACACGCAGTAGGTGTTCAAGAAAACTTTATCTTTAGTGAATGTTGAAGAAACAGCCTGAAATGTCAGCAGCTCAGCCAGTCCAGAGGCAATAGTGAGCAGAAGCAGCCACTAGAGGTCGCAATTTAGCACATCTTTGTTAGTCTAGAACCAAGTAAGGGCTAACGTTGGTCCTTTCCCCCAGCCATCTGTGAAAAGATTGAGGTTTGGGGATACTATGGCTTGCCCAAGGCTACAAAGATGCACCAGGGTCAAACTGTGCTTTGCCTAACAACGCTGTGCCTCTGAGAGCACCTTCCAGGATCCTAAAGCATTTCATCACCTGAACAATGTGCAGTGACTGCCGAGCAGCTGGTGAATACCATTGCTGGAGCACTAAAGATGAGGTTTGACCTTGACTCTGAGTTAGAAATACGTTTGACATCATGATGCAATACTTACATAATTCTAATGTGTAAAATTGTCACAAGATAATAATTGCAATGCAGTACATTCTGTAATTTTTTTTTTATAGTACTAGAGATGGAACTCAGAGCCTGGCACTTGCTAGGCAAGTGCTGTACCACTTGGGCCATGTCCTCAGTTCTTCAGCTTTTTAGTTTGTTTTTCAGGTAGGGTCTTAGTGCTTTTGCCAAGACTAGACCTCAATCTACCTTTTCCTCCCAAGTAATTGGGACTGCAGGTATGTATCACCACACCTGGTCCTATAATTTTCCTATTTTTGTCATTTTAGTCTGTTTGGTAAGGAAAAGAATGCCCACAAAAATTAATTTCATACTCCCCTAATGGTCACAACCCTCAGTGTGAAAGCACTGGTGTCAGTCATTGGTTTCAGTGAGGAGGGGGGTTGCTAACCCTCAACAAGCATGAATGGAAGGCAGGCAGAAGGCATATGAGAAGGCCAAAAGTAAGAACCCCTTCTCCGTGTCTCAGCCTCATCAAATCAGGACCCTAGCAAAGATCGACTCTGGTGTGACTCTTAAGAGACCCCTCTGGGAAGCCAGAGTTTTGCACTTATTCATGTACTGGTACTACGGAAAAAAGCTTATCAAGTACTAAAAATCCATTAGGTTATGAATGCAACATTACTGATTGGGATCCTGGAAGGTTGAAGGTTAGAGGCCTTGAGCAGTGAGTCTGGTCACTGTGGTGACATGAGGGGCTTGTGAACAGTTTTGGATTTGGTTTTGGGGTCATCTACACTACTGCTTCTCAGATTTCCTTGTGCATAAATCATCTAGGGTCCCATTCAAATGCAGGTGCTGGGTCAGGAGGTCTGGAAAGGGACAGAGGAGGGCGCGACAGTCCCATCAAAGCTTAGGCGCTGTCTTCTTCCCGCAGACATGGAGAAGGGTTGCCACTTCCTGCACGTCTTGGCCTGTGTACGCCTGAGTGCCCATCCAGGCCTAAGCGAGGCTGTGCTGCGACAGGTGCTGGAGTTCCTAGAGGACCAGAGTGACATCGTCAGTACCATGGACCACTACTACACGGCCTTCTGAGCAGAGGTCCCCAGACAGCTGAGGGGCAGAAAGACAAAGTGGCGCTCACCCCTATGCTGCAATCCTAAAACTTGTGCAGGGGCAGTTACCTCACGATAAACTTGGGGAGAAGGACTTGCTGCCTTCCACCTTCTGTATCCTGGGCACATGATGACTGATCTCAGCCATGACCTAAGAAAACCTGTCTGTGTGCTTCCTGGCTGAACTGAGCGTCATTCACAGGGGTGAGTTGGTGGCTTAGTCACTGTGCCTGTTCTTGGCAGGGGGGTGACAAGGCAAAGACCCCTGCACTGCAGGAACTGAAGCGCATGTGGCCAGATAACACAGTTCTGAAACTTTTAAGACTCTAGGCTCTCAGATCCACCCCCACTGGCCTCTTCTGCTGGTTAAGAATCGTTTGCTTCCATTTCCAGCATCAGTGGAGGCACCTGAGACCTGTTGCTGCTGTTTATAGACCCATGGAAGATGGGAGTAGGAGTCTGAGACATGGCTCTTCATTTTCCTTCTGAATCAAAAATTGTCTGAGAATATTTCCCTGTGCTTACAGAGGCACACGACTCAGTACCTGGCCCCTCAGTGCCCCCTGAAGGCAGCAGAGGCTGACAGCCAGTTGTCTAGCAGGCGATAGATGTTATTTTCAAGGTGCAGGACATGCTGACACCATCCAGACAAAGACTGGGTGTGCGCCCAGACAGGTGGGAAGTCATGCTGTGCTCAGAATAACAAGGTAAAGGGAAAACATCAGAGGTATTTAGTAGGCTTGTTCTAACAGCAAATGACAAACCCAGCTAGCAAAAATAAAGTGTGGAGAAAGATGTGGAGTTAATTACCGTCATCTTGCAGAAGGCACATCTGCCTTCGTCTGCTGTGCTGGCTCTTGACGTAATAGAGCCTCAGCTGCTCAACTGGTGATCCTGCAGTCCCAAGAATTGTGCCACCCTCCCTCCACAGAGTGTGTCAGGCAGAGAGCAAGCACTGGCTCACTTCCTATCCTGCCCTCTCTGACTTGACCCAGGCTTCTAATGACAAGGATGCACATGGCTGTCCTGGGTTTCCCCTGCATTTGGAAGGGTCTCAATTGAGCAGGATCTGCCTGGAATTACGTCCTGACAGTTCTACAAATTAGGAGCTGTTCCATACTGAGTTCATCTTTGATTAATGAGGACTTCCAGAAGAGAGTCTAGAATCAGAATGTAAAACAGACCTGGCACAGACCAACCCCATCTTAGGGGTTCATCTCCAAGAGAACCACACTGTGGAAGGGTGAATGCACAAGATGTCCACTGCTGCCAGGCATGGTAGTACATGCCTGTAATCCCAGCTATGCAGGAGGAAGTTAGGAAGATTGCCGTCCAAGGTTGACCCTGGCAAAATCATGAGACTATCTGAAAAATAAACTAAGGCAAAAAGGGCTGTGAGTGTGGCTCAAGTGGTAGAGTGCCTGCCTGCCAACTGCAAGGTAGTATTGCCAAAAAAAAAAAATTGCACTTCGCTATATAATCTAGAATTTTATAGTTGGGAAAAATACTTATCAGTAGGGGAAAAGTTAATTTTGGTTTGTACACGCAGTGAAATGTTACACAACCACTACAGTGATGGAAAGGTAGACGTTCTGCCGTGGAGCACTATTCGCAGTGGATCTAATCGGAAGAAAATTGAGTTCTCGATCTGTTTGTGTGGGATCGTACCACATAAGGCTCCGTGTGTACAGACGTATCTATAGTGTCTGCGTGTGCGGATTTATGAGTGTAGCATGTGTCTGCATAGATGTACAGTTGACCACTCCCCCCTCCTAGAAGTGCTTTCTGCACTTAGCTTTTAGAATGCCGCAGTGCCTGACTGCACCTCCCAAGGGCTCAGGGCTCAGTTGTTTGCAGACCTGGTCTCTGTCTGACTCATTCCCTCGGAGTCTCCTAGCTTCATGGGTCACACCATCTGTATGCTGCCAACCCCCAGTTTGCATCCAGGTTGGGCCCTATCCCTGTCTTCAGACCCCGTATCCAGCCTCATGCTGACATCACAAACTTAAATCCACGGAAAGTCAGGCTCCCAAGCCTGACCTGACCTCCAGCTCACTCCTGCTGAAGTTCTTTGTGATCCAGGAAAAGACAGCTCCATTTCCAGTTGCTCAGGTCAAATCCACTGACTTAGTTCTCACCCATACCCCACAGCCAGTCTGTCCATGGATTGTCTTGACTCCATAATCAGAATGTTTCTAGAATCTAACCACCTGTCACTTCTCCACTTCTACCTCCCTTCAGTATTGTAGTCATCTTTTTTTTTTTTGGTGGTGTTGGTGGTACTTAAGATTTGAACTCAGGGCTTCGAACTTGCAACGCAGGCACTCTACCACTTGAGCCACACCTGTAGCTCACCTCCTCACTGACCCTGTGCTCTGCCCTCACCCCTCTTGATTACATTCTCAGGGCAGCCGCCGTGGTGATCCTGTAACACTCCTGGTAGGAGCCTGAGACATCCCAGCGCTCAGCACGGTTCTGCTCTGCCAGGCCTCCCATGTCTTGCTGTTCCTCACATCCCAGGTGCATCCCTTCCTTGGAACCTCCACCCTCGACATTTCCTGTGCCTAGAATAGTGTCTGTGTGTGTATGGATTTACAAATGTAGCATGTGTCTACACATGATGTGCCTTCTTCCCCTCCTTCAGGTCTTAGAGTGTCACCTCTCTGTGAGGCCCTTTTTGCTGATTATAACTAACCTCTTCTCCCTTCCAGCTGTATTTTAGTCACAGTACCTGTTACTCCCCAACAACTCCAGATGTGGCTTGCTTGTCCTGTTTGTCATCTGCCTCCACAATAGAAAGAGTGCTCCAGGAGGCCAGAATACTCTCCTCTTACTTCCTCTGTGTGCCCAGCACCCAGAGCAGTGCCTGGCATATGTTTCAGCAAGGTCACTTCTATATGTGTCTGGCTGCCCTCCAGCCACAGTATCTGCTTCTCCTGGGGACTTTCTTCAGTGTGAGGAAAGCTGTTTGGACTGGTAATGCTCAGAATTATCAACCCCCATTCTGGAAGCTGCCTCAAGCAATGGCACCTGGGGCATAAATACTCCAGCTCCCTCACCCTTCAGGGGAGGTGTGGCAGCATGTACTTTACCCCATTTTTCAGAGTTTCTCTGCTGGATTAAAGGCCACCTATCCACAGTTGCAGCCAATTTGGTACCCACCAGCCTTATCCTCTGTGGCTTGCTTTTGCACTTCCCAGTCCCGTTCACTGCACTTCCCAAATGAATCTCTTATATTCTAGAAGTCTTTGCCTCAGGTCAGCTTCTGGAAGAATTAACCCCATGCTCACTATTACATGGGGCAAGTACTATATAAATAATTCATACTACAAACAGATTACTAGAAACGCTCACCAAAGTGATGCATCGGTTACCTTTAAATGTGAGATGTCTGGTGCTTTTATTTTTTGTTATTTTTTGAGACAGTCTCGCTGTATAGCCCAGACTGGCCTCAGACTCATGATCTTTCTACCTTAGCCTCCTGAATGCTGGGGTGACAGGCACACACCACCACACCCAGTTCAGGTGTTTTTGTAATTAGCACATGTCATCACTAATAAAAATAGTGAATCTATTTTCCATTGCCACCCCACCTGAATCACAAGTAAACCAAGATTGGATAGGCCTTTCTTACACAGCAGTGTGAGGACTCTGAGAAGCCAAGGGAAGCTCTTTGGAAAGTTCTCTGGGGCTAACTCCAGTCTGTCACTGCTTGTCTAACGAAGGCCAACCAGAGTGTTCATCTGGAAGGAGGGACTGAGCCTCCTGCAGCTCTCTAGGGGCAGGCTTGTTTCAGGGTGTGGACTTACAGCATCTATGGAGGCAAGGGCTACTGTCTGGCCATGGTTTGTTTGAAGACCCAGGATTATCCCCATCTGGTAAGCCACCAGTGCTCCTCATCCCTGTAAGACACTTCTTTGTAATTATTTTCCCCTCTGATAGTGTGCCAGGACACTGGCCCAGAAACCCAAGTGGAATGAAGTCCATTCAAAGATGAAGAGCCCAAGACTCAGTGCCAAGGATTGAACCAAGCAAACTTGTAATTTTCCTTGGCAGAAACATCTACACTTTCTTATTAATGTGGTTTCTTTTCCATAAGTGGCTCTACAGCAGTTGCCCCAAAGAAACATCTCATTGTTTCCTTGCTAAATTTACGTGAAGTCTACAGCAAATTCAGACCATGATGTGCCTTGCTGGGGATGCCAGCAGCAGGCACTGATGGAAGAACGGGACCATCCTCAAGGGAATCATATCTAGGGACAAAGAACCTTGAAGTTGAGTCTTACCTGTATGGTATTGTATGAGCAGAGTGGCCAAGTATGAGACCATTGCTCCGTATCAGTGGTTTTCTTGTAATTCAAAGTTTGAATTCAGCCTGGGGTTTTTTTGTTTGTTTTTTGGTGTGTGTGTGTGATACTGGGACTTGAACTCGGGGCCTACACCATGAGCCACACCCCCAGTCTTTTTTTGTAAAGCGGTTTTTCAGAATAGGGTCTAACAAATTATTTGGGCTGGCTTTGAACCTCAATCCTCCTGATCTCTGCCTCCTGAATAGCTAGGAATACTGGTGCCTGGCTAATTCAGCCAGTTCTAATTGCACTCAGGCAACCTGTGTTTTGCCTGTTAACCTCTGCTGTATTTATTAAGTAAACACACACAGGTATGTCACAGCCCAGCACAAAGTTCTGTGTTCACAAGAATTCTATGTCAAGTGGGCGTGGTGGCTCATGCCTCTGTTCTGCCTACTCGAAAGCCAGAGAATCATGGTGTGAGGCCAGCTCAGGGAAGAAATTAGCAAGACCCCATCTCAGCCAGTAAGCTGGTGTGTTGATGTATATTTGTGATCCTAGCCAAAGAGGAGGCCATATGTTGAAGGATTGAGCCTGAGGCAAAAATGTGAGACCCTATTCAAAAAATAAAGCAAAAATGAGCTGGGGGGGAGTGGCTCAAGTGGTAGAGGGCCTGCCTAGCAAGCACAAGGCCAAGTTCAATCCCAGTATTGGGAAAAAAATTCTCACTCAAACTCCAAATTTTCCTGTATGTCAAATTAAACTAATAGGTCTTCATTTTGGAACAGAGGAATGTTGAAGATCACACAATAGCTCTAGGTTTTTTGTTTTGTTTGTTTCAATTTTTTTACATAGTACCAGTAGGGTCGTATCTCATGATATGATATGATTTGGTAAAAGATCTATGAGTGAGTTACAGATCTGAGTTTGAAACAGTGCTGTTTCATTATAGTAGGTCTCCTGGGTGGTCTTTATTCAATCTGAACTACCATGGAGGAGCAGGTTTCTACTCTTAGGGCATCTACTTCAATGAATAAACTATTTTAATTGTGTACATTTATTATTTAGCATCACTTAATGATATATTATTTACCATCTAATATTTAAGTGATTTAAAATTACTTGGAACCAAGAAAGTTGAAAAAGTCCACACAAAAACTTATACATGAATGTTCATAGCAGCCATTCCTAATACCCAAATTGTGGGAGCAATCCACACGTCCATCCACTTGGTCACATGCCAGCTCAAACATTAATACATTAAGGCAACGCTTTTATTTTATTTTATTTTTTTGAGACAGGGTCTTACAAGGTAGCCCAAGCTGGCTAAACTCACACTCCTTTTACCTCTGGCTCCTGAGTGCTGGGATTACAGGCATGCCCCATCACGTCCACCTTCTGTGATCCTTTTAAAACCACATTACCAACTGAGACTTCTCATAGACCAGACACCCTTGAAGCACTGGTTCAGTACTGTTGTCCACAGTCAGATAAGTGTGAAAACCAAGGGCATGTTTAGAAAAGTGGTAATGAAGTGGAGGAGACAGCTGTAGTAATGGAAATGGTCTTAATGGGGCTGCCATTTGGGTTAGCATAGCCTGATTATTCTAACAAGCGATGCTTTCATTTTCGTCCTTCACTGGGCTTGGTGCAGTTGATTAGGGCGTTTTGATAAACTCAGCTAGAAATTACTCCTCCGGGAGGAGGCTCACAGTCAGCAAATGGAGGAAAGAAAGCATGGGTGAGCACAGAGTGTTGGTCCATTTTTAGTACCTCTTTACCGAAGAGCAATGGGGTGTTGCATAAACTGATGTGTGGTACACAAAATTCATGGCAAGTGCCAGCTTTCACAGTGTGCTGAAATTAGTGGACAATTAGTTTATCCTAATATAAACTAGGTGGCAGTATATATATATATATATATATATATATATATATATATATTATATTATATATATTATATATATATATATATATATTGAGGTGCTAGCATGGGTTTTCCCAGACTTCATTCCTTCCTTCTTAGCAGGAAGCCTGCTTTGCCCAGGGTACTTTGATTTGAGAACTAAATTCAGGAGTTTGTGCAGACAAACTGGTGGATGTTTTCTGGATCCTGGGGAGAAATCGGAGAATAAAGGACCCCAGGAATTGGAAACTGGACTGTCCTCCTTGACGGTTCTGTGGCAGATGGTAGGATGGCAGGACTTGTGTGGAGAGGCTCTGTGATGTCTCTCAGAGACAGAGGCTCAGCCTAGGAGTCCCAGCTTCAGCCAAGATTCCCAGACCTAAGCTTGGAAAGGAAGTAACCACAAGCCTCACTCCCTGAAGGGACAGGCATCTACAACCCTGGGACCTTGGCAGAGGCCTTGGTCTCAGGAAAAGGGTGGCTCTATTCCAATTTCCCAGGTTCTATGTTACCTAGATCCCCAGGGAAGGGAGAACGTGCCTCATCCTGCTACTACCAATATAATTTTCCTGCCAGCTCAGAGGATGAGAATTCACATGCAAGGTAACTTGAAATAAAAAAAAAAAAAAATGTGACACGTCTCGCCCACCTGAGTATTAGAAGTGAGTCTCATACTGCACTTCAGTTAGAATAAATGCAGTGTGACTCTTATGACTGGAGGTGTGACTCAAGCAGTAGAGCGCCTGCTTTGCAAGCACGAAGTCCTGAGTTCAAACCCCAGTCCCCCCAGAAAGAATCTAATCAGGGTGACTCTTAGAAGGTCATTCCCACCCACTTGCATTCCAGGATGATTTCTTAGTGGGAGAGGAAGGGATGACATCACAGTATGGTTGCAGGGACTCTCCGTAGGGGTATGCTGGTGACAAAACACACCCTGTCCCACATCGGTG